TTAATACCACGTAAATCTAAGTTGTTATCTATTTTATTTCAAACTTCGTTTTGACAGCACTGACGTACCCAAAATGGTGGGGTGGGGGTATTGCCCATCATATCATATACCATTGTACTTCAGTCCCTCCCCAGACGCACATCACATATAATACATGTTAAAGCTACGGGTTTTCTAATTTTCTATTCGAACAAAAATCATTCAATACCTACGTCAATGAGACGTTATAGTATTAACTCTAACCAATAAAAATGCATTTTACCTTCATCATAAATGAAAAGTTATTTTTAAGAAAACATCCAGTCAGCTGGAAACGATACATACAATCCCCTCTCCCGAGAAAAATCCTGGGTGCGCCTCTGACTGTCAGTAATAGTTTGTAACAGCGGCCCTCCAGAGGCTCGACGAACGATTTTAAGGAGACCCTGAAGGGTCCACCTAGGTGAAATTTTTGTGGTCTTCGCGATTGTTGCCCCTGCTTGCCACATCTCATGAACGAATCAGAATTTGTTCCTGTGGAATTTTTTACAGTCATTTAGACACAGTGCGTTCTCGGAATGCAATAGCGTGTGTATCGACGATAAGGTTCATTGAGTTTCCAGAAATCGCACGTACGCCCGCGCAGCTCCCCCTCACGGGAATCGCCCAATCATCTGCCAACCCAACAGGGAGTACGGTCGTATCTTCTGAGGGTTCTCCTCCCCTGACAGTCGTATTTTGATTTCATTCATTCTTCTTTTTTTTTTTTACAAAATATTTTTGAACTATGACATATGTTCTTCGTAATAAATATGTACTTTTGATTTTTAAAATACTACCTGATAGTTGAAAAGAACCTGACAGTGCTATGACATTTGAGCTCCTGATTTTTGCCCTAATCACCAATACTGTACATTTCTAGCGCTCGTGGTGGCCAGGCATATTGGATCATTCTGCCTCTGCAGATCTGGAGTTCGGAGGAATGCCATTGCCCGTGCTTGCGCATTGCGCCCACATCCTGCAACTAGTGGTGCTAAAACAGCACGTACTTTCTCGCCCGTATTTTCACGCAAAATTACGCGAAAAGTACTCAAATTTTCGAAAAAATTGTACATGACCTTATTTTAAAATCTATCTTTAAGGAACAAATTTCATTTATAGAAATTATCTTCATAATTGTAGATGTAGGTAGACGCTGAAAAGAATTGAATTTTTGCAATATTCAGAAAATCTGAGTTTTTAACGAAAACGAGACCTGTACATCCTTCAAACCCACCTAAAAATACCCTACAAAAGCACCTACCCAAGAAAAAAATTAATAAAAAATGGGGATTATAGTTTTGAAAATGTTGGAAATGTTCCAGGGGCTTCATGTAAAGTAACCCCCAAAATTAAAATATCGGTCTCAAATTCAAGGGGACGCGGTATCAGCCATTCGATCGATTGCGAAATATCGATATTGGAGAAAATTAGCTGCGCGGTGTAGCCGCTAGCGTTGTTCACAGACGCATGACCAGATGTTTTGCCGTCATTCAAGTTTTACGTATCAGGGACCTACAAAATAAGGTTTCTGGCTACACCACGTGTTAGAGGATTTTTTCTAAATTTAGCAACTGAATTTATCAACTTTTTCGTTACCAGGGCCCTGTAATGAGAGTTTTTGTGTGAAAAAGTCGCCGTTGTTTTCGCGCAGTATTACACAACTTTCTCTCTACTGCATAACCGGTAGCAAGAAAGTAGAAGCGCGCAAGAGTGATTGCCGCATTTCCTGACTCCAACCACAAAACAGAATTTGCGCGCCTCGAAAACTACCGAATTATACCACCAGATGTGGTTCCTACAGCACATAATTAAACAACAACACTGACGGCTTTTTTAAAATTTTTTATGGTGTTGTTCTCTCCGAGGAATTTTTTGTCAGCATATCTTTAAACTTATAGTATGAGAAAACAAACAAACAAACAAATTAAACGAACAACAGCAGTTTTTATTTTCCTTCAGTGGCTCGCACTTTGCGATACAATCTTGGAACGCAAGAAATGAAGTTTTATATAATTGCTGACAGATTATATATTCTTCTTGTTAGACATAATACACGCCTTTTCACTCGGGGTGTTGCATTACTCAGCAAGGTTAGTGCAGGTGTTTATTCCAGCAATTTGAAGCAATTTCCGAAACAAAGAGTGTCATTCTAAAAATGACTCTAAACGATTTTCATTGATATTTATTTGTTGTCTAAAGCGGTATTTAATAAAAATAGGAAACTATCAAATTACGACTCATCTGTTAGACATTAATTTTTACCACTTGATACAGTGTGGTTTCGTAACAGCGTTTTAACGCACCAAAATTTCACGCACTGGCAAAGCGACGCTTCCAATACAAAAGTGAAAATATGCATTTTTTCATTCAAATGAGCAATTTTCCACATGATGGTACAAAAATGGTTGTTTTAACGAAACTCGTCAAAGACAATATCAACTCATTTTCCGACAGGTTAACGATTATATGATCGAAGTGACAATATTGAGTCACAAGAGAACCCTTCGTATTTCGCCATTACACGGGTGAGTGAACTGAAATGTAATTAGAAATTCTGCATCTAGAAGATTGGACTCGTGAATAAAGGATGTAAATTAGTTGTGTTAGAAAAAAATTCAGTGAGTGAGTGAGTGAATGAGAGAGAGAGAGAGCGAGAGAGAGAGCGAGAGAGAGAGCGAGAGAGAGAGCGAGAGAGAGAGAGACGAGAGAGAGAGAGAGAGAGAAAGGGCGATAATTTTTTTTCTGTGCAATATCATATATACTCGTTTCGTTACACTTAAATGAGAATAAATTCTCTTCGGTTTTCTTATCATTGTAGTATAGCAATATTATATTCCATGCACAGTGTACTAAGTTGAATGTGTGGTATATTTCATCAAGAATTTACGTTGCCAGATATATCTTCATATTATGTTCAGGACCTATCAAGAAAACTCCGTGTGTAAATAAACTCTTAACTTTATTACATGCCTAATATACCTCCTAAAGTATGTTAGAATTCTATAAATATTCAACTATTATTTGAATAGCAAGTGGTAGAATTTTAGAAACATTCAACATTACTGTAATTACGACGCTGATGAAGAAATATTGGACTGGCTGCGGAAATTCTTCATTGCTATTCTGATTGAACGATAAAATATGGATAGAGGTCAAAAAGTTTGAAATTAAATTAATTAATTGTTGTGTATACTTCCCTTGCCAAAGTGTTTTGAAATTATTCTGTATTACTGTCGCAGAAATTCCCGAAATAATGTGTGTCGTGATTACAAAAATTAAACCGTAATGGACTTTCACTCTCGAGACACGAATACAGGACAGACTGAATAAATATTACAAATCTGTAGCGCATGTAGAGTCGAAAATGATAACTCACTGCCAATACACATGCAGGTAGATATTTCTTGCAAATTACACATATGACGCTTACTCGTGATTTTTAGGCAACTCGTTTGCATAGATATTCGGCAGGTCACGTTGTGCCACCGTCAAGGAGATGTACCTGCCAACCATTAGTGCTAACAGGGTTGCCGGACGATCAGGGGTAAATATGTGTATCTACGCATGTAACTCAGTTACAAACATTCTCTTCAATATGTTCATTGGCACAAAATGACCAATTTCGACCGATCTAGCCGCCTCCGCCTAAATGTTTGTAACATTTATTGACCTATGACATCTGTATGCTTGTGCATTTCAATACACGAATAGCTTCTCGCTACGCATACATATATTTCCTTTGTAAGACTTTATGGATAAAAGTTTAATTATCACCGTCCTGCATTTTGTAATAAAATTTTGGAAATTATATTTGGATTTTTAATAACAAATAATGTATAGAAATACTACCTTTATGAAAAAGAAATAATTGTAAAAGCATCATGCAAACTTGCGAAAAACCGAAGGTAATCCAACAGTGGCATGCTGACAATTGCAGTCATAACGTCGGTCTCCTTCTACGGCTGTTAGAGTTGATAAATCGATTCAGGCGACTCGCGTGGTGCTATTATGCCGCCTATATGAGGACGCCTTGGAAGTCTCGCTGGCGTGCTCTGAGAATGCAACATGTTGTTTGCTTTTCTTCCTCCTACTACACTATCGATTCTCACTTTACATTGTACGACAGCTTCGAAATGACATTTCTCACCGAAGTTATGAGTTCGATTCTCTTGTGCTCTCGAATATGCACGTATTGGTTTAGTGTGGACTTAAAAGAGTAAGAATGAGAAACTTTCTTATAATGCAAAGAACATTTAGAGTTAATTCAAATTAACGTTTAGAAATGCACTTTTCTATTAAGCACGTCTTTATTTTTTTATTTAGTGAAATCCAATGATTAAAAAAGTCTTTATATAAAGATTGCTGAATTTAAATGCCAGTGTTGTATTATCTTTAAATCAAGGTGATTTCAACAAAAAAAAAGCTTGTTATTGTAATATTATGACTTAATTGCCGTAACTTGGCCTACCTGAACTTTGGCATGTTACTTGGCCTGTTACTACCTGAGCCTTGGCATGTTACTTGGCCTACCTGAGCTTTTTCTTTCGTCACCCAGCTATAGAAACGCAGTCGATTTACATTTACAGAAAGCTGCAGTTTCATTTTTGCTCCGACCGGGAACCGAATCCAAACCACCACACAGAAAATTAGAACCCTGTTCCTGAGCCACGAGAGGGGCTCAGAAATGAATGTTGACATTAATTAAGTGGGAATATGGCATTGCACGGGTGCATGATATTAGCGTTTTTCTGGGCGATATAGCCGATTCTCAGCACAAAATGCCTCCTCTGCACTTGCACTGAAATGTTGATTAACTACTGAGCCCCCTGCACAATCATCAGCTGCCGCCGGGCAGACAGCTTTATCTTTGCTTCCGACGTTCAATGCGTTGTCGCCACGTGTTCGCTATCTGTGTCAGGTGATGGTTTTAAAGCCCCATTGCGTTACACGCACCGGGAGAGTAAAGTTTATGCACATCGATGCTTAAAGATAAGCGGGCCCTGCTATTGTCACGTGACGCCTGGAACACCAATTACGGTCTATGTAACAAACGTAAGTGTTCATCGGGCTCGGTTCGGTAAGCGAGGCTTCATACCATGTTCCGTATTGGTTGCCGGTTATACTTTTTGTCGCAAGGTACTGTCAGCTCATGCTGCGATACGATTTTATTTGTTTGAATGATTATCCGAAAATATTTTTGCTTGAAAGTTTCGTGACATGTTAAAATAAATAGTTACTGAAAAATTTTAGGTGGGGGGAATTTCTTTCATTTTCCTTCCCGTGGATCCGTGCCTGATTAAAGCATAAATCTTTTTCATCCCTTTCGCCATGACTTCAGTGTACGACTAAAAGAAATAAATCAGGAATTGATACCAAACAAAAAACCGGATACGATTACCAAATTCATAAATGAATTTAAGGTTAAGATTTATCACTGGCGTCTCGTACCGGTTGTAGCGTGTTTGTGATAGACCCCCAAAAATGTATTTAGTTATATGTAATACGCATATATTTTATTAGTAAAATTACTTCATGAGTCATCATCACACCACGATTTTTTGTTTGGCTTTCTCCTCCTTGCTGTCGCTGTATTAAAACATAGGCGATGACAAACCATGGGATCGGACCAGGGAGCAGCAGGGCGTTGAGGGGCACACAGCTACACAGTTCGAGCCAACATCTCAGATACTCGTATCTGGGAAAAGGAACACGTCCTCCAAACCAAGGAGCACGCAAATAATGACCTAATTGGTTTCTAACCCCCGGTGCAGGTTTCGCGTGTTTTCTGAATGTGCAATAACAACAACAATAATAATAATAATAATAATAATAATAATAATAATAATAATAATAATAATAATAGTAAATGGCTATGAAAGAATTAACAGTGATATTTTTATTATTGTTGTTATTAAATATAATAAAAATAATTATTATTAATATTATTAAAAACTACTATACGAGGTTTGAAACGAGTCTTTCACTTCATATGTAATAGACTGAATGAATAATTGTCATAATGATAATGAATAATATGATAGTCATAATGTACAACGACGCTGCACGGTTACAAACAAACCGCTATATGTAAAACGCATTACACGTATGATGCTGCAACTTTACAAATGTTTCCTTGAGGCATGTGGAACTCGGCCTAGAAGATTTCATCTTAATCTGAGATGGTCGCGCGGGGAGCCCTAGATCACTTGCAATATGAAACGCGTATACTGAATTACCATCGTTGGAATTTGTGGGAAAATATAAGATATTATAAAAAGATATTATAAAAATAAATATTGCTGGTTGTATAGTAAACAACTTCCGTATTATTTACAGCAATGAATTATATAAAAACAAGTGGCGATAGAAGTGTGAATGATTTGCGTAACGCCAAGACTTATATAGGTAGATTTTGTTCGCATTGTGTATATAACATACTCAACTGGACTGAAAGGATCGTTGTTGTATAGGTGGTAACCTCCAAGAAAAGCAAACAGAACTTTGTGTTGAAGCCTCTGGTGCATATAGACCACGCCCATATCGTGAGTTACCAGGGGAAGAGTGTTAAAAGCACTTTGCAAATTTGATCACAGTGTATGTAGTTGATTTTTTCAAAAATAAAGTTTTTTGGATGGCCATAATTACATAGAGCTAACGTGGCTCAAGGATTCTTTGCAAAATCTGAAAGCTTTTCAACTGTAAATATTGTATAATAAGTCTGGTGAGTTTCTTTCATCTACTACTTCAAACAATTCGAATATTTTAACACAAACAAGCCTCGATATCCGTCTAAATCCGCATCGTAATAAATCTGAATTGAGAGAACCAGCATCACACAGAGCGAGGTGGCAGGAGAAGTGTCTCTTGGGTTTAATCCTGTTAGTCGTTAGTAAACCTGGTTGTTCTTCCTTTGAAGCTTGGGTGTGCGCTTCTGATTCACGCGGCTCCTTCGTTTAGAAGACTTTTTCCCCCTCTTCACGCCTCCTTTGCGGAATTTCTTCTGCCTTCTCACCCATTCAAAGACGATGCGAGAAAAGGAAAAGCAAACTTTGTAGATATTACTGAAGGAAGCTTTTGTTTGCAGTTGGATTGTAACAATAAAGATCAGACTTTGATGTTATACAGACAACGCGTTGAATAGCACTAAATCTCTTTCTCTACCTCGCCTTCATCCCCGATTAAATTTCAAAAAGGCTCCGGTACTTTTTTTGTTTTGTTTTGTTTTCTTTCCCACTTTACATCCTGATGATATTTTAAGACATTAAAAGAAAATATGATTGAGATACGAAAGAGAATAAGATCGAAAGTTAATTTTTCGTGATATTCGGTATATGATTTTCATCATTCCTGAACATACAATTTTTACCATTAATAATGTGGATTCTTCTAATTTTGTTCCCTTATGTTATAAAATTGCCCAAAAACGTGTGGTGTCCAATCTGTAGCAGATGGTTATAAAGTACGTTTTGTTTTTTGAGATGTTGAAGAGCTAGATACCGTTGGTATAATTAGAGCTACTGGTGTTGACTTATCTAATAATTTGTCGTAAGAAACTTTCGATCGCGTAGTGATCATCAGAGTCGGCTATCCCACCCTGGGCGGTGAAATGATTTTGTACTGAGTGTTGCTTCAACTACTATTTAGTTTATTTTTGACAAAAACTGAAATACGTGAATTAACATTTACAAAAACAACCTCTGGGTCGAGGTGTTTTTCGTCAAGTAGAATGATTATTCTTTATTATACCATCAAATAATAATAATAATAATAATAATAATAATAATAATAATATCTCAGTATGTTCCTTTTAATGCTAGAAAATTAGTTTCGGTGTCATGAACCTTCAAAATTCATCTATCTCTATATCTTGAAACTGTTCGAAAGACAAGTTTATCGAAAAACAGCAGCTTGCGTTGACAATCAAAAGATAATAGACCGGATAAGATAATTAATAACATAACGCAATTTTTGCGTAGAGCACTTTCCGCTCACTACACATAGATAGAGGAAACGGCCAAGATTTGGTTATTGTACCTGAATAATGATTACTAGTGGCCTGCAGCAGCGAAAATGCTGCTGAACAAATCCACAGAAATAGTTTTCCCTGAAAAGAATTCAGACACTTCTCAAGAAAACCTAATAAAATACTCTTGTATAACCCTGCAGTGAATTATATATTTTAACAAAACCAGCATTCACGAATACTTTATTAGTATTTTCGTAGTATATTGTAAGCCATAAACAGTTCTCGTACAACAGTTCGTTACACACTAAGAACATACAAAAGTCTTATAATGCAACTTGTGAATAACAAATATTTAATGGTAGTAGCATCTTCCTTCTTTTAATGGTAGTAGAACCTTGCTGTCGCATTACACAGTTGAGTCGTCAGCTGTGACGCACTGAATATGGGAACCCAGTCGGTACGCGCAGTATGAAAATAGCGAAATAACACAACCAAATATTTGCATTTTTTGTCAAATTCGGAGCTGCTTCATTGCTATTATATTTTTCTGAGTTTCTGGTAGCCAAAGAATCCATAGCCATCTCTCACATGGCCGGAGGCTGCAGAGTTTTCTGTCAATATTTGCGCACATTGGAAATTAGTAATTTAGATTGTAGGAAAGCTGTCGTAAAATGTGAGACTATTGCTGTTGGTTGTTATGTAATGTTATAAACTTTCTCAGTCTTCCCGTGATTCAGTCAACTGCCAGTTAATAAGGCTGCCGATCTCAAATCCTATATTTGTTAAGAAATAGAAAAACATGGACATACGAGAACTGCACAGGGGAACTGTGAAACATTAAAAATGATTCACTTTTCACAAGCTATCACTTATACCAAAACGGCAATGAAGGGTCGCCTCGGCGTAAGTTTATTTTTCATTTATTTCTTTAATTTTATTTATTTATCATCCTCATTAACCAGGTGAATGTCGGAGCAACACCTGAAGAAACGGGCCCCGGCGATCTTTCCTTCCCCTTCTTGCCCCTTCTCTTCATCTTACACGCGCGCACACACACTAACACATACATGCGCTAACACACATGTCAAGAGGCAAGTCGGGAGATTAGAGATTATGCGGTGCTCTTCTAGTGGAGATATCTAGAAGAGAAAAACTTCCGAAAGCGCATCTCACGTTCCAGCGGGGAAGGAACATCGCCACCGCTCGGGATGTAACATACACTACACTTACAGAACGAGTGACTATACCAATTAACGTGGTCGGCAACCCGGACTATTAATTTAATCGCTGGCCTGGACAGCCTCGACATCACTAAGGCTATAGGGCCATAATTGTCTCAGGTCGAAGGTCAGTTGTCAAGAGGACCTCCAGATAGCATTTCGGCGCACCTGTCGGCTTACGTGCCCCTGCGCCACTACCCAGCGGCCAGAATTGGGTAGGAATTAGAACAGGGGTAGGGTTTGGGACACTTCGCAGGGTTTGGACTAGCCCTTGTAAAGCAGCCAAACTCGTTCTGTTGGAACAACATTCACTTGAGGTTGTTCGGGAATCGAACTCGGACCTCATTGGTGAAAGGGGAGAGACTTCGCTCTGAAACACCGAGCCAGCCTTAGTAGCCAGACTTAGTAGCTCAAAAGCGACCTTAAAGGGAAAAAAAATCATTTGATTCTGACCAGCCTCTCCATTCGTGTTCCAGCTCGGAGCACCCTCCCGCTCGCGGACGTGGTGGCGGTCAATTACGTCCACGAGCAGGACCGCAGCCTGTGCTGCGGCTTCCAGGGTCTAGACGACGAGGGCAAGCCCTTGAGCGCCGACCTGGCGTCGACGCCGCCTCCGCGTCACCACGCCTTCGTGCTGCACTACGCCGCCCCCACCACCAAGAACCGCTGGCGCCTCCAGACCGTCACCCTCAACCACACCGACCCGCGCCAGATTGCCTCCTGGGTCAAGACGATCCGCAACTATCTAGCTGGTGAGTAGCTGAATGGCCTTTAATGCTTGTCTTCTCTCTTCATATGTAATGCAATTAACACATGACAGACAATATTTTTAATTGTGGGTCCTTGGTTTCTTCTATCTGTCGAAGAAACGAACAATTTCGCCGTACTCACTCCTTCAATGGAACTTGGAATGGAATTCGAAATGTAGTGGGGTATAAAAGGTACGAAATTACGGGTATAAAAGGTACGAATTTATCGAAATCCGAGTAATCAAGGTTATTTGATATCAGAACTGTATTTCGGAATGAGAAACGAGATCTAGTGAATTAATGACGGTACACGCTGTATCGATGTTTACAATATCGAATGGACAGACGGAATACGGACAGGCGGACAGACGGACGCGTTTTGCCGCCATCGATTTTTCGGTAACAAATACCCACAACACATGGATTCTGTCTATACCACGTAATAGATGATTTTTTCCTAAATGTAGTAACTGGATTTATCCACTCTTTCGTTACCAGGGTACTGACATAAAAGTTTTTCTGCCGAAAAATCGCCGTTTTGTTTGCGCAGCATTACGTAACTTTCTCTCTACTCCGTAGCGAGAAAGTAAGAGAAAGAAAAGCAGGCAGTAAATGGAAAGCTCTGCATCTGGTATCAAAAACGAAACCATAAAAACCTTATCTTATTACGAAAAATGCAATTCAAAAAACGATTAAAGATATCCATTGCTGCAAAAGTTAGCAAATGTCAAGTTAGCAAAAATGCCTAACAAGTTGGCAAATCATAATACTTTGAATTTCACAGTTAATAAAATATAATTACAATAATATTAATGGTGTAATAATTAATTGTTTTCGGAATTAAATGTATAAAACATCTGATTAAAATAATTGCAAATTCGCTATTCTTGTATCCATCGTTGACTGTTAGGATGTTTGGAAACTCCAGAAATTTCTCGTACAACTGCATATTCACAACGTTACTCTATCATGCAAGACAATATGCTTCGCAATGCTCCCTAAATAAATGTAATGGGCAGATCCTAAAAAACGCTAAACATATTCTGCATTTTGAAAACATTCTACAATAATGAAGATTACAAACTCAGCTACTCAGAAACGGATGCTTCTCTGAATAATTGAAATAGTGATATATACGCAAAGACTGGAGTGCGAAATTGTTATCTGAAAATCATGAATGTATAATTCATTATATTATGATTATGTTGTACAGAGAAAAATGTAAGATGGACGATGAAACAAACCAGTCGTTTAAAAGATCGGATTAATGGGTCGAAAAAGGGGGTCGATTCTAGAGAATTGGGAATTTCTGCCCTAGACAAACACTTTTGCCAACAAATATCGTCAGTGCACAAGGAAAGTGATACATCTCAATAATCGTTTAACTTAGAACTATGCTTAGAACTTGCTCTATTTATACTAGTAAACCGTTCATAAAGGTAGGTCACAGGCCAGCCAGCAAAACACTGTCTTTGGTTGATTAACGACTCTGCTCTTATTAAAACCGCTCTCCTGCAAAACGCCAATGTTTGAGCTGTGAGCACTTTTCTTATGCAGTGAGGATATATCGAGCATGTATGGCTTGCGGCATCACAGAAGCGGGCCAGGGTAGGCCTGCCAGCGGGGCAGAAGAAGTCGTGAAAGAACGGCCGGTTTCGGTCGTTAGGCAACCCTTGACCTTTGCTGCCAAATCGATTGGGCGGCCGCAGAAGGATTCAAAGCGAGCGTGGAACCGTCCCCTATCACAAGTAGCATTTCTCACGATCCGCGTGTACGTGTCACAGACTGCACGAACACCGCCCCCATCGGTCCCCGTCCCTCTCGCCATTCCCATTTCCACCCTCTCCCCATCCCCAGCTCCCACCCAGGGGTGGGCGGATTCTAATTTGACGCTCCAAGTAGTGGCGTTTTGAGAGTTAAGTAGCTGGAACAACTTGTCCCAAGCACAGATCTAATTGGGGCCCCGAGTAAATTATCTATTGTTTAGAATGCTGAGCATTAAGTACAAGAACGATAGGGAAACGAGTTTTGCCAAAATTATTGACGAATTCGTTGAAGTGAAAACGCGGCAGAACATTTAATCCTTTGATAATACAGGGAAGCCTGTCTTAAACGGTTGCTTATGGTTCCAGAGGAAATGGCCGTAAATTCAAGTGGCCGCTTAATAGAGGTTATGGAAGTTCGGAGCACGGAGATGTGGTCTTACTTTGCTATATGCAATAAAGTTAGAATCCATTGCTTGGTAATACATTTTAATTTTATGGGACTTAATTATATCTGAAACTTTTTTCAGGTATGCACTAATAAGTTTAAACAAAATTAATTCCTGGAATGTGCAGTCTCCTTTCTCTCACTTCTAGTATTTTTTTCACATTCGTGAACTTTATACCCAACTATACGTGAAGCTGTAGTTCTCACTCTGAATATATTTCAGAGCTTGCATGAAAATAATTTATTAACGCCTCAAACACCTAAATTATACTGTGGATTAAAGTAGTAATTTCGAAATTGGTAGTAATAATACCCCTTGGCTTTGTGATGGGCATAAATCCCTGAAAATATGTTACAGGTTAATAAAAAGTTAATAAAATTCGACATGATTATTCAGAAACAAATTGATTTTTGAAATGAAATTAAAGCTTCATTTTTTTATACCGAACACTACAGAAATTTGCGGTTTGCGAACACAGTGCTGTGCAACGTCTCCTCTAACTTCTCGAGTGGTTGTGTGTAGAGTATGAGAAGGATCTTCAATTAGTTCGGCCTCCAGAAGTCTGAGAGGAGTTTAACTTTATCATAACCCTGTATTATGTTGCATTGGAGACAAACTTCTCGTCCTGAGCATTAAGTGTTGGCTAACACAACGCGTGCACACTGCGTAAGGGAAGTGTGTAAAGTGGTGTGTCAGAGAAAGACAAACAGGTCTATAATAGACGGTACTATAAATATAGTTTCCTAAATTAATCATCAAGTACAGCAAAGTACACTTACAGCGAAGTTGAGACTACCAAGTCAAGCTAATCAATGAAGTTAGTACAGGTTACAATGATTTCAGCACGCAGTAAGAGGAGACATTGTGATATGAGTCTCGGACTGCACTTCAAAGAAATGACGTCAATATATAGTAGAAAAGGTAGTCTTTAAAGGGAATTAAAATAAGCTTCTTTGAAAGTTAAATGTTTAAATACTACACGTATTTTATTTTTAGGTTGTAATACAGGATTGGTTATCTTCCTCATACGTTGGTTAACTTTTCAGACAGAGTCATCAATGCGCACACGCCTGGTAATAGAGATAAAATTATTAAGCAGAATTTATTTATTCATTTATTTAACGTCAATTAAAAAAATAGACGTAACGTTTTCTGTTCCAAACATTTCTTTTGTCGCTAAAAATTGAGCATGACTAACAAAACAATTTCTGTAGTGTTGGAAAGGAGAACAACCACAACAATTCTTTAAACCGTAACCGTTTGAAACTGAGGTTGTATTTTTTCCTGAATGTTTAACATTTTACCAGATATTTAGAGAGATTCTGCAGATAATACCTACCATACAAAATCGCTATAACATTATACAAATAATAATCAGACCGACTCTTCTCTACGCCTGACCAGTACGGATCAATGCTGCAAAAACAAACATCAACAAAATTCAAATAGTACTGAACTAATTTCTCCGCACAATCACTAATGCATCCTGGTTCATATCTAATCACCAATTAGACAATGAATTCAACCTCGATCCCATCATGCACATCACCTACCTATCCCACAACTTCTTCTCTAATATACATAATCCAAACTGCATACTCATTCAAACTTTGCAAAACCCCATCCATCCTACACGAATCAAAAATAAATATTCATACCACATATTTTGTAAATTGTTTTCATATCAGAATAGATCCTATGAGGTGCCATTATTGTTTCCTCAAACTCTGTAGTAGTGTTAAGTTTGGTTAAGTTTTATTTAATACGTCATCAATACATATGTAAAGTTGTTGAAAACTAATCTATGTACAAAACAAACAAATAAATAAATTTAAAAAAACAACAAAAAAGTAGAGCGGTGACGCCCTTATCCGGCTTCTTCGCAAGTTTTAACTGAGCAGTCGAGGTCCGTGCGCGTGCGGTTCAAAAATGCGCGTACGTTCCCACTAAAACCAAAGTACTTAAATTTAAAATTTAGTATTATATAAATAATTGGTAAAGTGCCACTTCATCACCTTCCCCTGAATACTTCCCTTGCTTTTAACGCCTCCCTTTTGATTTTCCCTTTCGCACATATCTATATAGAGATTTCGGGACATATCTATAGAAGATACAGAAACTACTGAAAATTTCCAAATCCCAATAGTCTCTGCACATACGGTGCAAAATTTGTCAAACGCTTATCCGTTAAGCTGGGAAGAAATCAGATGCAGATCTTGACCTGTTGAATTGAATTACGTGGCGAGACAGCGGCCATGAAGCCTGCTCTTCCGTCTGACCACGTAAATTTCGCTGCGCTCCTTTCACCAACTAGCGGAAGGAGGTATTTCTTGGGCGACGAAACAGGCGATTTGAATTTAGCTCAGAGGCTTCATTTGAGCTCGAGGGTCTTTTAGAGGCAGAAAATCTACTATCATAGGACAGCCAGCTTTACTTCCTCTCCAAAGGAAAGCGTACGAAGCGTACGTTTTTCGCCCTTAAAAATCCACGACTTCGATCGGGTTTGAACCCAAGAACTTCGGTAGAACAGTCCGATACGCTAACGGTTACACCAGCCCCGCCTGCTGACTTGTAGCTAATCGGAAGTTAAGAAACAATTAGACGTTTATTGGCGATGACGGAACAATTTGATCACTTGTAGGAGGTAGGCTGTAAGGGTTTTTTTTTCTTTCCCCCACCCATATACATTTTCAGGACTGGGGACCGCTTCATTCCCAGCCAGCGTTGTGACCACATCTAACATTTCCTTACTTGTTTTATTGAACAGGAAAATTGAAAACGAAAAATTATTGGTGCATGTCATTGTGAAATACAATTGAAAGGCTTCGTTTCATAATGTTCTAAGCGTCATGAACTACGTATGTTTCTGGGGTAACAAGGAAGAAAAAAAAGGTAAAACCATACAATTTAAATATTTACATTGTTTTGAGATTCAAAAGTGTTTCATAGTCCCTTCTGAAAATTATTATCATGGGCAAATAGATCCATTTAAAATTGTAAATAGAGATCTCATTATTTTGACATTTATGAATTGGCCTGCATGTTTGGCCCGCATTAAACTAAATACTATTGCCTCTAACAATTTCATTAAAGTATATTATTTCATGAGACGTTGAACGTTTTATGTTGGTAGATTTCCTTTTCTTTATTACTGTGAGTGAACATCTAATCGAATATCCTACTGGTAACAATTCGAACGTAGTAGATCGGTCACGACTGTCCTTTCTGTTCATCAATTTCGTCTGTTTTATATTCATTTCCCCGGGCGCCCATTCCAGGATGGTGGTCAGGCCGAAAGAGCAAACAATGTGTCTTAATTTGTTTCGGAAACTGTTTGCTCAATGTGACACAATATCTCGGGAGAATTCAAATAAATTATTTTGTTCCGTCAATAAATCACTCTTTGCCCTTTTTTATATTCTAATAACATCAATTGAACAAATTCATTGCTGGATCTTGATCTGCAGAAGATCCAGCGTTACTTTTGTGAATACATATTTTTTTGAAGGCAACTAATAAGATTTGAAAGGAACTTATTTAGGCCTTTCATGAGACAAAAAAAATTGTACAAAGCTTGGTTGAAATGTTAATAAATATTTTAAGATATTATTATAAATAATCTACTGCAGTTAGTAAATGCATTTTTAACTGCAATAGTTTATTTAAGAAACTGTTCGTTTTGTGAATGATCAAAATAAGTTTTCATGATAATAGAAAATGAAGGACAAGAATTTTAATAAGATTTGCCATTGGCCAGAATTTTAACGTAGTATTTCCAAACCTAGATTCTCCGGAATAAATGAACGGTCTTTCCCGTTCATTAATTTTGCTTGCTTTTCTATTCATTTCCCAAAGCGCTCTTTCTCCGGTCGCGAGTATCGCAACATTTACTGTCGCTCGGGAGATTCCCCGACCTAATCGCTAAATCCGCCGTAAAGCTTGTTTGTAGAATAGGAGAGCGGAACGTCAAATCGTCGCGTCATCCCTCTCCCGCTCCGACCCGCTCGACTGTCGGACCCTGCTCCGAACCCAGCTTCGGCACCGCTTTCGGCCGCTCGGGCCCGCTCCGCCACTGCGACCCCCTCGACCCGCTCCGACCTGCCGACCGCTCCGACCATGGCTTCGGCTCGCTCGGCCCGCTCCGACCCGCTCCGACCGCTCGACCGCTCCGCCCGCCCGCCCGGTTCGCCGCACGACCCGCTCCGATTCACCGGCCTCCCCACCGCCGGCACTCCATCCCCGCTTCCCACCATCCTACCAAACTTCCCCATCTTCGCTCAGGTGCCTGGTGTTGCAGGCGCATTAGCAGAGGGCGGGGCGCGAGCTGCAGGGCGTAACGAGTAGCACGCGGCGAGGCAGGTCGTGGACGCTGGGAATTCCATGAAGATTAAGTAGTTGGAAACCGTGTCCAGTGCGGGGAATCGCAGCGCGAATTTTCTGCGAATTCACAGCGGAATAATACGAAGGGTCGCTCCGTCCATTTGTCCTACGTATTCGGTGAATGTCGACTGAAGTGCGTTACCTTAACAAAACCGAGCCCTCTGCGTTTACCTCCAGTCCGCGTTTTGAGAGAATGAGGCAGATGGCGAGCAATCGGTGGATTTGTTCCGAGACGGAATAATTGACTGGCTTATCATGTGCTACATTTTGTATTGGGAAGTTAGATTGAATGTTTTTATTACGTATGAAATGAACGAATTG